GCCACCACCAAAACTAGCACCACAGCCGCTTCAGTTGGTATGTCAGAGGAGTTATTCACGCATCCGTTTGAAGAAATGAGTGATGCGCAACCATTATTGCCAGAGGATGTAGATAACAGGGATATGTCTCAGGCAGGCAGCATTACACACATGGACGTACGGTGTGATGATGATGATGATGTTGTACCGCTGCTGCTTCCTTTGCTGAGTTGTCAGATACAAGTGAAGCGGTTGATGATGACGATGCGTCCATGGATGTCACGTGGGTGCCCGCTCGTCAAGAAGAAGAACGGGGCGAAAGTTCAGATGGGGAGACAGGGAGGAGGAGGAGACGAGTTGGAAGCAGGGGGAGGTCGTCGCAAGGAGCTAGTGGCACAGTCAGACAGCATGCATCGGCACCCGGGGTCAGCCCGACAGCATGCCAATCAGCGCATGCTGTGTCCACCACCAGAATGCCGTCATTGCAGAGCTCAGCAGTGTGGAATTTTTTTTGTGTGTCTGCCTCTGACAACAGCGATGCCATTTGCAACCTGTGCCAAAAGAAACTGAGTCGTGGGAAGTCCAACACCCACCTGGTACAACTGGCTGCGGCAGGCACATGATCTCACATCTACAAACGCCTATGGGATCAACGCGAGTACAAAACTGGCTTCGCCTACTCTAAGCCTTCAGCTTTACTCCTCCTGAGGGTCAGCATCTTCAGCCGCGTCAACCACTGCTGTCCTCCTTGTCCCCTCTCAACCATCCGCCCTCAGCCTCCCGCCTTGAGCAGTTCCGCTCATCTTCATAACCTCCTACGACTGAGTCTGTTCTGCTGCTGCGTCTTGCTCCACATCAGCGGATGAGGCATTAACAGTGATTAAACTGACTGTGAGTACTAAACACACCACTCCACTCACTGTGGGTGTCTGTGTAGCTTGGATTTAAAACAAAAAATTTTTTCACTGTTGTAGTTGAATAGCAGTTAGTTATCTTCAAGCAGTTGTGTGTCCCAGCCCCTGGCCGTGTACTCTGCCAGAATGCACGCTGCCACCTCCTCCTACTCCATCCTCTTCCATAACCTCCTCGGCTGAGTCCTCTTCTGCTGCTGCGTCTTGCTCCACATCAACGGATAGGGGACGTAACAGTGATTAAACTGATAAAAATAGT